TAGGGCATGTGAAACTGAAAGTGAAAATATTGTGTTGAATAACCAGGTTCATGCACTTGATACAACTATCCTAGAACTTAGATATGAAAATCTAAAATTGAAATTAGGAACATGCAAAAAGACAGTTGATCACTCACAACTCACTTTAGAAGAAAATATAGGAAAAATAAAAGATGAGTTGTATAAGAGGGATGAACTAGTAAGAGTCTTAAAGGAGGATTTGAACAAGGTCAAGCATGAGCTAGACAGAACTTATGAACGGAACAGGTCCTCTGATGTACTTTCATGTCTACAAGAACATCATAGTACCAACAGAAGAGGACTTGGCTTTGGGAAACCGGCACCTAAGTGGGATCCCAAAATCAAGTACCTCACACTCCCTGAGAACAATATTTGCACACATTGTGGTCACACTGGTCTCTATATGAGTGAATGCACTGCAAAAGAGAAGGCAAGTCAAAAGAACAAAAATTTTGTTCTAGGAAAAAATAGGCTGCCAAGCTGGACTAAAAAGAATTTGATTTATCCTTTTGCCTATAGAAAGGGATCCAAACTAGTTTGGGTTCCTAAGACAAACCCCCAATTTTTTTTTTTGCAGGTCCAAGTGAAGGGAAGCAGCCAAATATGGTACATGGATAGCGACTGTTCTAAGCATATGACAGGAAGCAAGAACAATTCCTTTCATTTGAGGACCTTAAAGGAGGTAATGTCTCTTTTGAAAATGGAAAGAAAGGTGAGATCATTGGGGTTGGAAAGGTAGGTAAAACTAATTCTCACTCTATTTAGAATGTCTACTTGATAGATGGACTAAAGTATAACCTAATAAGTGTATCACAGTTGTGTGATAGAGGTAACATGGTTGCCTTCACCTCTACAAAATGCTTTGTGATTAATCACTAACAAGATAGTTTTGTAGGAAAAAAAGAGTGAATAACATATATGTGGTGGATCTCTCCACACTGTCAGATAATGAACTCACTTTCTTAAGTGAATTGGATAATGATGCCCTCCTTTGGCACAAGAGACTTGGACATTCCAGTCTAAGACAACTCAACAAATTAGTCTCCAAGGACTTGTTGATAGGCTTGCTTAGCATTAAGTTCAAGGAAGATAAAGTTTATGAGGCTTGTGCAAGGGGAAAGCAGGTAAGATCCTCTTTCAAAAGTAAGAAAATGGTAAGTACTACCAGGACGATGGAATTGGTCCATATGAATCTTTGTGGACCAATGAGAATATTGAGCAGAGATGGAAAGAGATATGTCATGGTGCTTGTTAATGATTACTCTAGGTTTACTTGGACACTGTTCTTAACATCTAAAGATGAAGAATTTGACATGTTCACTTCATTCGATAGAAAAACTCAGAAAGAACTAGGTAATCAACTTACATCAATTAGGTCTGATCATGGCACTGAATTTGAGAATGCTAAATTTGCTGAATATTGTGATGAGCATGGCATAAATCATAACTTTTCTTCTCCTAGGACTCCACAACAAAATGGAGTAGTTCAAATAAAGAATAGGATATTGGAAGAAATGGATAGGACTATGCTTCTTGCTAGTAAACTTCCCTATAGCTTCTGGGCAGAAGCTGTGAACACTGCATGCTACATAATAAATAGGTGCATGACTAGACCTTTTATTGAGAAGACTCCCTATGAGTTACTTAAAAGGAGAAAACCAAATATATCCCATCTCAGGACATTTGGATGCAATTTCTTTGTGCACAATAATGGAAAAGACTCCCTAGGTAAGCTTGATCCCAGAAGTGATGAGGGAATAGTCTTGGAATATTCTTCACATAGTAAAACTTATAAGATTTATAACAAAAGAACTATGTGTGTAGAAAAAAATGTAAATGTGGTTTTTGATGAGACTAACATTCTTTCTAAGAGGAATGAACAAGATGATGAAGCAATTGGGCAGGTAAGAAACTCAATGAAACCACAACCCAGACTGAAGCTGCACTAGAGAAAGGAATAGGTGATGGAATAGGTCCTTCCACCCAGGGCAACGTGACAGGGAAACTGAACAAAGAGGAACTGATCCTCAAACCTCGAGGGAACCTGTCCATGTACATGTTCCTCATCAACAAAACATTCAAGGAACATCTAAGGGAAATCAGCTGGTTGTGAAACTTTACAAGTATCAAAATTCTCATCCCGTTGGGAACATAATCACTGATCCAACCTCTGGAATCAAAACCAGATCTTCTTGAAGAATCTTTGTGCTTTTGATACTTTTTATCTCTTATTGAACCTAAAAATATTACTGAGGCTTTGAAGGATGCAGACTGGGTGAATGCAATGCAAGATGAACTCAAACAATTTGAGAGAAGTCAAGTTTTGGCACCTGTACCAAGACCCAAGGATAGATTAGTAATTGGCACAAAATAGGTCTTCAGAAACAAATTTGATGAAGATGGAACAGTTACAAGGAACAAGGCAAGATTGGTGGTTCAAGGATATAGTCAAGAAGAGGGCATAGACTATGATGATACTTGTGCTCCAGTTGCAAGATTGGAAGCAATTAGACTCCTTATAGCCTTTGTTGCTTACATGGAATTCACTCTCCATTAGATGGATGTCAAGAGTGCCTTCCTCAATGGCTACCTAAAGGAACAAGTGTTTGTCATGCAACCTCCTAGCATTGAAAGCAAGGAATGTCCTGATCACGTAAAAAAGTTTGACAAGGCACTTTATGGGCTCAAGCAGGCTCCAAGAGCATGGTATAAAAGATTGTCAAAATTATTGCTTGAGCATGGCTACAAGAGAGGTAAAATTGACAATACTTTGTTCTTGAAAGAAAAAGGTAAAGATCTCTTGGTAGTTCAGATATATGTTGATGATATAATCTTTGGAGCAACTACAGATAGATTAAGTAAAGAATTTGCTCAACTAATGGGGAGTGAATTCTAAATGAGTATGATAGGTGAGCTTAATTTCTGCTTAGGCTTACAAATTAAACAAAATTCAAATGGAACTATGACCCATCAGCAGAAGTATGTGAAAGAGTTGCTTAAAAGGTTTAAAATGGAAGATTTCAAAGAAATTGACAGTCCTATAGCAACAACCACGAAATTGTATATAGATGAACTTGGTTCATCTGTTGATGAGAAGATGTATAGGGGAACGATTGGCTCTTTATTGTATCTCACTGCTAGTAGACCTGACATTGTTTTCATTGTAGACCTTTGTGCTAGATTTCAGAAAAATTCAAAGGAGTCTCACTTGACTGTTGTCAAGAGGATCTTGAGATACCTAAAAGGCACCACTGACCTCTGTCTATGGTATCCAAAAGTTAGTAATTTCAACTTAGTGGGATATGTTGATGCTGATTATATAGGTTTTCTTGTGGATAGAAAGAACACCTCAGGTATGGCACACTTTCTTAGCTCATGTCTTGTGTCTTGGGCCACCAAAAAGCAAAATTATGTGGCCCTGTCTACTGCTGAAGCTGAGTATGTGGCTGTTGCCACATGTTGTGCTCACTTGTTGTGGATCGAACAACAATTAATGGACTTTGAAATTGATGTAGGTTGTATCCACATCTTTTGTGACAACACCAGTGCAATTAGTATGACCAAGAACCCGGTTCATCACAAAAGAACCAAGAACCCGGTTCATCACAAAAGAACTAAGCACATAGATGTTAGATATCACTTTTTGAGGGACAACTATAAAAAGGTTTGATCATTGTGGAATTTTGTGCTACTGACAAGCAAATAGCTGACATCTTCACAAAAGCTCTAAGTAGAGATCACTTTGAAAGGAACATGTTAGAATTAGAGATGATTAATATCACCTAAAAGGAACCAGTTCTAACTCAATAATTGGTTAGATAATTTGCGAATTTTGTACATAATTAGATTAGATTAGATTTTGCTTAGTCTCATACTTTCACTAGTATACTCTTGTTCCATGTGCTAAAATGTCTCATTAATCTCTATGATATTATCTTTATTTTCTTGAAAAATTCAGACTTACACAAGAGAATTCTCTTTGAAGAACCTGGTTCATCAACATTACATAGTACGTACTCTCCACTCCGCATACTTCGAAGTAATTGTATTTGGATCATGATAAAAAAAGAGTCCCATTTAATTCCAACCTCCCTCAAGTTTATCTATTACAAATGAACCAGTTTCACCTAAAGAGAGTCCCACGCACCATAATTGCCTAGATTCTAGGGAAGACTCCAACATCTTTTCAAACTGACTTTCCCATTTTGATTAGACTTCTGAGCTTCTAAAAAGCTGTCGTTACCCACTTAAAAACTCCCTACTTAAATTGATTTGGCCTTACCCATTTCCTCACTTCTAATTTTCCAGCAGCCATAATTCTCTCTATCTTCTCTGATTTCTTCTACACACAGATGCATCTACAAACATCAATGGAAAACCTATCTCACAACCCCTCTTCACCACCCAAGGAATCTACACCTACACCTTCGATCACACCCTTAACCATACCTAGCTCTAAGAAAGGAAGGATCGAGAGGCTGGCTTGCAAGACAGTCGCTGGCAGTGAACAAATGAAGAAAATAAATGAAAATTGAAAGCAAGCCAGGTAGAAGAATCCTTTAAAACTGCAACTGAGGGGGGAGGGGGGGGGAGAAATTGTTTCATATAAAAAAGAGCAGGTAACATTTGGTTCTAATATTGCGTCCGAGATAATTTCTGGAGTTGCTCAAAATTTGGAGAACAAATTTTTGTTGGTTGGTACTATTGTGGGGTAGAGATCACTGAGTTTAAAAGAATTGGTGGTAAAAATAAAAAGACAAAATTAAAAGAGAGTGGGGGTGATCAAGGTGATGTGAGGGGAAAGGGAAAAGAAGGAGTGGTTGAATCTTCACCTACTCCTGTTGGGTTGACTGAGGAGACAGTGGCTATGGTGTTGTGGAGTGAGGAAGTTGTTGAGGAGGAAGAAAGTTGGAGAGAAGAAGGGGGGAATGGGTTTGGTGATGCAAGTGCAACTGAGGGCGATGGTTAGGTTGAGGAACATGTTCCAAGAACCTATTCCATCTGTGCAGGAATCCCTCGAAGACTTACTGAAACGAGTGTCTGACAGCTACAACCCGAAAAAGAAGAAAAGTTCAGGAGTTAAAATCCATGGAACTGCTAGGGCAAACAAGAAAAGAAAAGCTACCTCTTCCATCTCTGTAGAGACTCCTCCTACAAGAGGAAGAGCTACAAGAAATCAGAAGAAGCAGAGTGAGGCTGAACTTGAAAGAGCCTCAAAAGAGAGCAAACAAAAAGCTGCTGCAAAGGGAAAGAAAAAAGTGAGTGAGCCTATTGAGGCAATTGAAATTGAGGAAATGGACCTGGTTCTTCATGATAAAGACAAGGAAGAGGAGGTAGAGGTTATGAATCCAAAGGCAAACAAAAGAAAGACTTCTAAAAAGAAGTCTCCTTAAAAGACTGTTGATGCAGAGCCTTCTACCTTGGCAAAAAGAACCGGGTCTTCCAGGAAATCTAGGAAAGTGCAAGTAGTGGAGGAAGAAGATAGTGAAGAAGAAGAGGAAATTGATGAAGAACAGGACAAGATGGTGAAGTTTGGCAAGAGAACAATCTTGAAAGATAGACTCCTCAGGGACTTGGAGGAGGAAGGAATGGTGATGTTGCTGGAGAAGCTAGAAATTCAGGGTTGGAAGGACATGGTCCTTCGGATGGAAGGAAAACTTGCCAGAACTGAGATTGTGGAGTTCATGGCAAATTGTGAAATCAAGAATGGCAGGGTCACTAGTGTGGTGAAAGGGGTGACTGTGAGCTTTGACGATAAGGAATTGTGAGAGATTCTAGGGGTACGTGCTGAAGGGTACATGATTACAAAGAGCTGAAATGGCCAAGCCTAGAAAATCTACCTACCTTCCTTGCCATTACAAGGAAATTTACTGACAATGAGTTAGAGCTATAGCCCAAGGCTATGTACAAAAGTGAGATGAAGCCTGCCCACAAGTTGCTTTTTGAATTCGTCAACAAGGTTGTGTTGCCCAGGCAGGAAAGAAGGAACATTGCCACCTTCATGGATGGCTAATATCCTTAGATTGATAAGTAATACTTGACTCCATGATTGCATTTGAAGTTGCCTAAATGGCCATGAGTAGATCTAATAAAATCTGGTTATCTAACATAATTATGCAACTTTTCGATGATGCTAAAAGGGGGAAGATATGTTGTTTTTACTTTGGACTGTAATGTTTATAACCTAATGAACCCGGTCCTTGATGATTTGTGTGTTTAAATAGAATGTGTTCTAACATTGTGTTGATGTTGAGCTGAGTTGAAACGGTTTTCATGCTTATCAAAAGCACGAAGTTTGTCATCATCAAAAAGGGAGAATTTGTTGGCCTGAGTAAGTTTGTTTTGATGATTGACAAAGAAACACACGCATGAACCATGTCCATATACAGTGTAGCATATTCGAGCACAAGGCATGCACGTGAAGGAGATAAGCATAAATAGCTATATTGGATATCTCCTGAAAGAAAATGTTGTATATTTGATAAGGAGCGGGACTCCTTACTCGAAGAGAACTCTATCCTAGATAATGGAGGCGTTAGAAGTCGAAGATAACTAGAACTCTTCCACCAAGGAAGAGCATAGTATTAGAACTCTAATTATTTCCTATTCTACTAACTCTATATATTTCAGGATGTTCTCATTTTACAGGGAGACACAAATACAGAAGTGGAAGCACAAATTGAAAGCAAAATAGCAAGGCATTTTGTAAGCAATTCTTGTGTGATTTAAGTGTGCGAACCTGAAGCTACATGAACCAGATAGAAGAACTAGTTCCAAGTGTCTGTCTTTTATTCTAGTTTCATTGTAGTAGGGCTTTTGAGTTGTACCTTTCAGCTTTCTATAGAAGCATTTGTAGTAGGTACTCTCAGTGTATTGTTCAAATTAGAGTTAACTTGAAATTGTCGCAACAATCTGAGGCTGGTTGCCACAAAGGGTTAGAGGTAATCCTTAGGTTTACAAGAGTTATGTAACGATGTTTTGGCTCAATGATTTAGTGAAGTGTTGGAAAAAATCCTATTGGGTAGTAAGTCATCGTTTTTTCACCTTTTGAGCCGGGTGTTTTTCACGTAAAAATACTTGTGTTCTTTACTTTCTGCATTTATTATTCCGCAACTGTAATATAACTAACACATAGAAGAACTAGGTCCTTCTATAATCTGTACATGCGAAAAATTAAACACCATACAAATCACCCTCCTCTTGTGTGATATTGAAGTATAAAATATTATCATTAATTTCAGGGACAAAACAAAAATTCAAGGACTTATTACTGTTCGAGGACATATGAATGAACGTATTTAGATATTTTACAACTTTTTCCTGCCTTTTGAAAAACTTGAATTTTTTACAAATTTATAAATCTCTCATACTTTTTATAACACTCCTATGTAATTTTATTAATTTATTTAAAAAAAAGTTAATTATCCACGGGACTTATCCCTATGTCTCGTGGCTTATGCCTCACTCTGTACTAGGTAAAATGCCTCACCTTTTACAATACTGGTATTTGTAAACCAAATTAACCGTGGATAATGAAATAGACAAATTAGACAAAAAATTTATGTAACTATTTCACGAAATAATAAACATACTGTTTACCAAATCTCTGAAAATTTGAAGGTCCATGCATATTAAAGTTAAATTCTTAGAAGCAGTTCTGTAAGAAAAAAATATAGGCTTTACCAAATTTAAGGATATAATGTATAGATGTTAAAAAGTTATTAACCATCGCTTGAAGAGTGGCATTTCACAATGTGCATATAGTAAATTACACTAAAGACTAATCTATATTTATATTATATTAAAAGTGGGAACCCCATAACTTAGAAGTTAAATTACCAAAATATCCCTCTAAAATAAATTATTTTATTAGTATAAAATAAATAAAAATATCAAATTTATTCGAAGAGATGCAACCCTTCAAATTAGTTACTACGTAATGTTTAAAATACTTCATAACTGAATTCCTAGGTACTTTCTAATTAATTTATACTACTCTTCAGATAATAAGTCATCCAAGTATGATCGTACCTCTTTGAAACCAAATAGAAGCGTTCCATGAGAATGAGAGAAAAAGGGAGCAAAATGCAAAATTGCTCTACGAGTGCAACACAAAACAGTTGTTTTGCTCTTCAGATGAGAGGGAACTAAAAAAATATGAATATTGGCATATCCTAAAAAGATGAGGTCACGGAATGGGAGTAGAGGAACTGAAAAGAAGTTTAAGAAGATGAAGGAATGAGAACAGTAATACGACATTACAAAAGAGATATACTACGGAGCAACATTTGACCCTGCAAAGTTGGCTAGGAACGTGTCAAAAGACACGGCTCTAAATAGTCAAACAGTGAGAAGGTGTCGCGTGAATTGGCAAGGACTCTATTCTCTTATTTGGAGAACAATTTGATAACAAAAAACGGGTTTTATTTTTTTCACTCCACTTATAATTTATTTGTTGTTCTCTTCCCTTAATATTTTATGAAATACAACTTTTAAAGATGTTATGGTGGATGATCGTCATCTCATAATTTTTATTGTGTCTTGTATAAATGCTATGATTAGAAACAAGAAAGGTTATATTAGTTGTTCCTTTTGAGATATTAATCGGTTTATTGTCATACAATTTACCGTTATGTGAAAGATTATAGTTTCAAGGTTAGTAAGACGTAGATTAGGCTTCATTAATACTTGAACATATTTTTGAGATTATGAAATAAACTAGGTTTACATTAGACATAATTTAAAGGTTGGTGACCTTTTATTATAAATTTAATATCTCTTACACTATATATAGATTTATCATGTTTCTCTAAATAGTTAATGTTTTCATTAATAAATAAATTTTAAAGAAATTATTTAGTTGTTTAGCCATTAGAAAATTTTCAAGTACTTAGTTATTTTATTAAACGACACAACTCTTTGAGAGAAAAAAGATACAAGTTTTTGTCTATTTATAGTAATGCGATTATTAAATAATACTGATATATATAACAACTCGATGTAATTGTACTATTGGTGTTTATAAACTAAGAAATTAGTATTGATTTATGATGATAATAACTTAGTTTTTGTCTAGCAGTTGTACGTACTGAACATTAAGAAAAGTAAACGTAAGGGAGAATAAAATTAAAAGTGTCTAACTTTTTTTGTCGAACAAGAACAATTGGGTGACAAAAAATAACGAAATAGTCAATAAGCTCTTTTGGGTCATGCTTATTATTTGCAATACATCTACATATTCAAACTCAAATTTCAAAAGACACACGTTTAAACTCATAAAAAAATTATGTTTTCTGAAAGAGGTAGTTTTTGTGGTCCTTATTTATTTATTTATTTATTTAAATAAATAAAAGAGTCTTGATCCTCCTTAATCTGTACTCTAGCACTTGAATAATTACTACATTTTAAATAAAATTTATTTATGAGCAAACAAAAAATACTATGCTGAATTAGCATCAAATAAAAAATCCAATGTAGTTATATATAAATCTAACTCTATATTAAATCTAAATCAATATTTATGTTATTATAAAAGTACGAACCCCTAAACTAAAATGCTAGAAATCTAATTATTCTTCTAAATAGCCTAAATGCCTTATTTATAGAATAAACAAAAATATCGACGGCACAAACATGAGCTTCAAATCATATTATTTCCTCTTTTATTTCTATGTTTATTTGATCGTTAATGTAAGCTTTGAACCAGAAAAATAGAATTATGGGTTGAGGTGCAGAGCGTGAGCATAATCCAACGGATCGGGAATCAAAGCCTAAATGGAGTGATATGGACATTGAACTTGTTGGAAAAATCACATGTATCTATTTAAATTTGGATCGTTCCTTTTCGTAGGTTCAGACAATATTCAATTATCCTGACTTCGACAAACAAGTATCTATACGAAGATTCACATTGATCATCACAGTAACTGGTAACTGGTACCTTGTTCTTTCGTGTATAAAAGCTTATAGATATTAGAAATATAATTTTATAATATTTAGGTATTAGAAATATAATTTTATAATATTGTGTGATAATAACTCGGCACCCACGCGCGTGTCGAGAAACTAGTTTTTACAAAAACAAAATTAGAGGGACTTCAAAGATGTGTCTCTTGACAACTTTTTGTTTTTCACTATTCCATTGGTGTCTGCATGTAATTTTTAAGTTAAAATTATTCCTGTGCTTGTATCCGAAACAAATGTACCAGTGCAACAAATCGCACCTTTTGTTTCTCATAAAATATTTAAGTATACAACCGATGACCTTTTGTTCGGCTGAAAATAAGAAAAATGTTCCGAAGTCTCGCACAACACAAAAATGAAAAGGGAATAATTGTTACCAAAATTCCATCAACATGGGAATTAAGCTGTACAAAGTCGAGTTCATATTAAATTAAAGTAATCACTGAGTAATTATGACTCTCAACGGAAATAAGTATGATGAGATGGATCAAACAATGACTACATGCTATATACAATTCTGAGTCAGAAGCACAACAAGATCTAGTCTAGAGAATAACTAGACCTTTGTATCTTAGCTTTTCATGATTCAGCTTGGTGACTTTCTTTCTTTTGGCGCAACTTGTGGTGGATCCGGGGAAACAGTAGATCATTGAGTTGTCTTTCAGCACTATACTCTGACGAGGCCTGCAAAAACAACATTCTATTACCTTTTCTCCGACATTGAATAAAGGAGAAATGCTGGCATAGGTTTCTAACTTTTCTCTTGCTGAAGAAATAAGAACGAAAAAGGACTACCTATGGTAGT